CTTTGTCCGTCACCTTCTCCAGGAGCTGGACAGGAAACAAACGGCTGTGGGAACTCCGGATGCCTGGTCCTCCCCCATCGCGAGCACCCACCCCACACGTCCCCCAGGACCCCCAGGCCTATGGCCCAGCTCACCTCTGCGTACTGCTCCACCATGGCCCTTTCCACCTCCTCGTCCCCTTCCCAGTCTCGCCAGTTGTCAAAGTCCACGGAGAGCCAGGCTGGCTGTGGGCAGAGAGAGCATCCCCTGAGGGAGGGAGCTCCCCCTCCTCACAGCCCAGGCATTGCTCCGGGGGCAAGCACAGGCTGCTCCTGCACAGCGGAGGGGACTGGGCGGGCTGGGGAAGGGCAGGGAGGGGGCTGTGTCCCTTCGCCTGTGGGTGCTGGTCCTGACCCTGCCTGCCTCGAGGGAAAGGGGTGCTGCATCCTTCCTGGAGGGCAGAGATCCGTGGGCTGGCGGTGACCGTGAGGTTGGGCTTTTTGGGAGCTCTGTTTTGGGGTGCCCACATGGGGCCTGGGGGTCTGTCCCAGGGACAGGTTGGTCCCCAGGAACTGTGAGGTGCTGCGTGGGGACAGCACGCACGCTGAGGCTGGTCTTGGCTGCCAGGCGCCACACACACCTTGATGTTCTCCTTGGTGATGCGGGGCCAGGCCACTTTCTCCTTCCACTTCCTCATAAAGCACGTGATGGAGCGGTCGGAGCGCTTCTCCCGTGAGTCCTGCCAAGAGATCGGGGGTGCCTCACCTCAGCATCTGCTGGATTCCTCTCTGTAATCCACTGCAGACACGTACAGGATTAAAGCTCAGGCACGTGCAGGCTGTGGGATGCAAAGAACCATGGAGATGAGTTGTTTCTGGCCCAACGCAGCACTGTGAGTGCCATGCCTGGGGTCAGGGCTCCCAGGCTTGTGCTCGCCCCGCTCAGGCTCCTGGGAAACAGGCAGGGTTCAACGCTAAGCAGCATCGCTCGAGAACGCATAGGCTGGGTTTAACTCTGAGCCCGATGCAGGCTGTTGGAGAACAGTTTGCTGGGGGGAAGCCTCACCTTGGAGTTGACCCTGGCATACAGGTTGATCTCGTTGTAGAACTCCACGCCGTCTGCATTTTTGCAACTGCCAAAACACCATAACGGCCGGGCTTAGGAGCGGGCTGAGGCTACGTGTCCCCTGCTCTTATAGGGTGCCCCCTTGTCCCCAGAACTGCCCCCCGGGGAAGCGGCTGCTCACCTGAACACCAGCCGCTGGTCTTCAATGACGACCTTAACATCCGTGCTGTCCTCGACACAGAACTCCAGGTAGACGTACCGCGGGCGGTCGTACCACAGCGTCTTCGCAGGTTGCCTTGGGGAAGAGCAGACCAGTGGATATTCCCACGGTGCCCACCAGTGCTCCAGAGGGGCTGCGTGAGGCACAGGCTGGGGACTGGGGTGAGGAAGGTGCCCCAAACGCGGACCCTGTCTGGGCTGAGCTCGGGGCTGGCTGGACAGCGAGGTGGGCACGGGGCCCGGGCCGTGGGTGCTGGGCTCG